ATTTCAAAATCCATGGCACACATAAAAACCGGTCCTGGGGGAAAGCTTATACTTTTAAATGACTGCATCAAACAGACAGAAAGAAAGATCACAAATTAATAATCTAATGTTAAATGTCAAGGAACTGGAAAAAGAAGCAGCAACCAAAACCAAAGCTAACAGAAGAAAAAGACATAACAAAGCTCAGTTAAACTAAATGAAATGGAACTACCCTAAAAAAAGAATCAATGCAAAAATGATTATTTGAAAAGATCAGCAAAATCAATAGACCACTAGCCAGATTAATGAGAAACAGAAGAGAAAGGATTCAATTATGCTCAATCAGAAATGAAAAAGACATTATAACTCATACCAAAAGATACAAAATACCATTCATGAATACTAAGATAAGCTCTATGAAAACAAACTAGAAAACCTGGAGGAATGGATAAATTCCTAGAAACACACAACCTCACAAGCCAGAATCAGGAAGAAAAGAAATCCTGAGCAGACCAATAACGAGCAGTGAGACTGAAGCAGTAATAAAATATCTTCCCACTACCACCACCATCACAACAACAAAAATGCCTCAGACTAGATAGATTCACAGCCAAGTTCTATCAAATGTACAAAGAAGACCTGGCACCTATTCTATAAAAATGATTCCACAATATCAAGGAGGGAATCCTCCCTAACTCATTATTCAGAACCAGTATCACCTTAATACCAAAGCCAGTAAAGGACACAGTGAAGAAAACTGCAGACCAGTATCCCTTATAAACATAGACACAAAAATTCTCAGTGAAATACTAGCAAACAAAATTCAGCAGTTCATCAAAATTAACCTGCCATGATCAAGTGGGTTGCATCCCTGGGATGCAAGGATGGTTCAACATATGCAAATCAATAACATGATTCAACACATAAACAGAACTAAAAACAAAGACTATATGATCATCTTAATAAATGCAAAAAAACCCTTTGATAACATCCAGCACCCTTTCATGATAAAATCCCTCAAGTGTTCCCTCTGTCACCACTTCTATTCAACATAATTCTGGTAGTCCTAGCCAGAGTACTCAGGCCAGAGAAAGAAACAAAGGGTATCCAAATCATGAAAGAGGTATTAAACTATCCATGTATGTTTACAATAGGATGTTTTGTATACAAAAGCATAAAGATTACACTGAAAGACTCATGGAATTGATAAATAAATTCAGCAATGTACCAGGTTACAAAATCAATGTACACAAAACAGTAGCATTTCCATATACTAATAAGAGTCAAGCTGAGAGCCAAATTAAGGGCTCAGTACATTCACAATATGTATAAAGAAAATAAAATTCCTAGGAATATACTTAACTAAGGGAGATGAAAGATCTCTACAAGGAGATCAAAGGTAGGAGGTGGCTTTCATGAAGAGAAAATGGGATGCTTTTCAAAGATGTGGAACAACCTAAGTGCCTATCAATTCACGAGTGGATAAAGAAATTATGGTGTGTATATATACGATGGAGTAATGGAGTATTACTCAACCATAAAAATGAATGAAATGTCTTTTGCACCAACTTAGTTGGAACTGGAGACTATTATTCAAAGTGAATTCTCTCAGAAATGCAAAACCAAACACCATATGTTCACATTAATAAATAGGAGTTAAAGGATGGACACACACAGGCACAAAGAGATATAGAAGTCATCGTAAACCAGAAGAGGGGAAGGTGGGGGACTGAGGAATAAATACTTACCTATTTGGTGAACCTTATTCTGGTTATAGGCACACCAAAAGGCCTGACTTAATAATAAAGCAAGGTATTGATGTAAAAAAACCATTTGTACCCCTTAATATTTTGAAATGTAAAAAATTAAAGAAAAAAATGAATATATACCATGCAACACAATTGGGTAGAAAACTGCTATAGTTAATGTATGTCACATATAAGCAAGAATCATTATCGGAAATGTAGTTTAATACTTATTGACTTACTTCCAAAACCATTAATTATATTCTTTTAGAATATGTATGTACCTAATAATACAATTTCAACACACAATTGAAATAAGTGATGCATAAACAATCATAAACATATAATAAACTATTATGTCTCACTACTTACTACACAGGTACAGCAGTGAGACTATAGAAAGATGTAAACTAGACAATTAACCATTATAAACACACACACACACTCCCACATATACTATACTAATATGGAATACTCATATTTTTAAATACTCTTAATATTTTCCAAGAATATGCTATAATTACATATTTCTAAGTATATTAATATAAAATACAGAATTGTGCTCCCAATAGAGTGTCACAAACCAAGTTTGGCCAGCAATACTTGAAATGTAGCTTTTCACTTTTAATAATAATTAATGAAAATTAACACTTAAAATCAGTTCCTCCATCACACGGCCACATTGGAAAGACATGTAGAACATTTTCAGCTTCACAGAAAATACTGTAACTACAGTTTACCTAAATAGAAGCCAATAAGCAAAATTTGAAAATCTACATGATTTTTAATTCTGTCATATATTGCTAAAGCAAGTAAGAGCCAAGGAAATTACCATAATGGATAGCCACAATTTTTAGATAAATTACAACTAAAATACAGCAGAGGTCTTTTGTGAAAATTTGATGATCTTAAATACATATATAAAAAAATGAAATCAGAAATGGAATTATCTGAGCATGTATCAAAAGAAAATAAAAAAACAGAAAGCTGAAATTAAATTAATACAAGTGAAGTAGAAAAAAGAACAACAAATAGTACAAGTCATGACATACAATTAGTAGAGAGGATCAACAAAGGCAAAGATTTCATTGAAACCACTAATAACATTGATAAAAGATTATTTAAGAAAAACAGGAGAAGGCATAAATATTCATTTCTAGATTAAATGTGGGAATATCTATGGATATTACAGATATCAAACAAAAACAAACCCACTCATGAATATAATTTAGTATTCATGTGAAATAAAAAATTCCTTAATTATGCAAATAACCAAAATGTAGTAAAACAATGCAAACCTGAGTAAACGCTACATGTATCAAACAAATTAAGTTTGTTATGTAATCATTCCTACCAATATATTCTACAAACTCTGATAACATCACTAATAAATAATAATTTTTCAAGATAAAAATGTACGCTTACATAAAGGTTTCCAGTTTATCAATATAGGAATGCTTCCCAGTGTAGCATTGATAGCAAGACTTTTCAAGTATGTAGCAATGAATAAAAACATAATGCTAACAGGATTTCCTTGTGAACATGGGTGAAAAAATAAATATTACTCTAAATATAATATCAGATACAGTGATTTTTTTAAAAAAAATCGTAATGCTAATGACCAGTATGATTTTATCTCAGAAACACAAGAGTGGCTTAACATTAAAAAGAAATACAAATAATGTCATTTAGAAACATCATACAGAGAAAATATATATTATTTTAAGTGGTGCAAAAAATGTAACCTTGATCCAAAGCAAAATTCATTAGAAAAATGTGCATATTATAAAACTACTTGAATATGAAACAGTTATGATAAAAAACTTCACAAATGTGAGTGAAATGTTGAAATCGTCTCATCAAAACCAGGAAATAATAGATATGATATACATAGAACCATTATTGTATTTTCTCTTGATCATTGAAAATAAAAACCTAGACAGTATGAGTGGGTTAATAAAATATGCTATATGACTATGATGGAATGCTACTCAATGATAAAAAATGACGGTGATTTAGCACCTCTCATATTCTTCTGGATAGAGCTTCAGTACATCCTCCGAAGTGAGGTATCATAAAAATGGAAGAATCGGCTCTACATGTACTCGCCATCAAACTGGCACTGACAGATCAACACTTAGGAGCTCACACAGTAGTGATATTCTTTGGGGGTAGGTGGGATGGGGGTGAGTAAACTTACAACTAATGGACATGGTGAGCATTGTGGGGGGGAAAGGACATACGTCAAATCATGGTTTGGATGTGGCAAAATCATAACATGGAATCAAAATATTTGCTTGTACTCTCATAATATCCTGAAATAATAATAATAAAAAAATCTAGACAGTGAAAATAAATCAAGAAAAAATGTATGGCACCTGGAAAAATGTTAAATTGTGATTATTAAAGATAAAATAATAGTTTATGTAGAAAATCCAGGAAATCCTATACTTGGGGTAAAATTAATACATAAAGTCAATGAAGTATTAATAATTTGATATAAGATCAACATGCAAACCCCAATTGTATTTCTATTTATAGCAACAAAGTAACTAAAGGAAATTTTAAAATAAGGATGCTATTTACAAAGCATAAGTGTAAAATATCTGGATTTCCATATGACTTCAATACCAAAAAAATACTAACTATGATAGATATTAAATAAAACCTAATACATTGTGGGACATAGCATGATATTGATTGGAAAAGTCAACTTTATAAAGAGACATAATCTTTAAATATAACTTTAGAGATTAGTGCGGTACCAAACATAAACACAGGAGAGTTATTTTCAAATATCTTTTATAGATATGTCATGTAAATTGAAAACATTTCTTCCATTTAAAGTGTATAAATCACTACATTTATTATTTTTACATAGTTACAACAAAAAAACACTTCCAAAATGTAGAAAATTTTCATCACCCCAAAAAGAAAATTGTAGCAATTAGCGGTCTCTTCCTATTGCAAGCCCCCTTAGATTCTGGCAACCATCATTCCACTTTCTGTCTCTATGGGATTGCTTATTCTTGATATTTCATATGAACAGATTCATATAACATGCAACTTTTAGAAAGGTTAAGTGCCACAAACACAATGCTGAGCAAAAAGATCCAGACACAAAGGCAATGATATCCTGGTCTTTGTGATGTGTGTATTATACTACAAATATTATTTTTGAAAATATTTTTATTATTAACACAAATTACAATTCATTTTGACTTATGTAATCATAATAGTATTTGCATTTCACAAAATATAAAAATTACCTGTCTGACTCCCAACTCAGGTGCTTTCCTTCTAACGCTTGTGCTTACAAATATACAGTTTTGAAGATCTGCATTCATCTGATTGAAGTCTATATTTGTATAGCAGAGCACAGTTACGGTTATCATATTCTGTTTCTATTATACTGTAATGGAGAAAAATCCATACTTCTGTCATGTTTTATAGGGACAATTCATGAAACAAGAGCATTTTCTGTAAGCTTTAAGAAAATAATTATATGAGAATGGTCAATTAAATAATGGGTTGCTTATTATGAAAACTGACCACTGTAGTCCCCCGTATATATAGGGGTTGTGTTTCAAGACCACCAATGGATGCCTGAAATCACTATTATACTGAACCCTAGTACATACTATGTTTGTTCTATTTATACACACCTGTGATAACGTTTAAATTATAAATTAGGCATAAGAAGGGATTAAGAACAATAACTAATGATACAAAAGAGTAAATATAACAATGTGCCAGCATCACTACCCTTGGGCTTTTGCCCCATTAAGTAAAATAAGAGGCACTTGAACCCAAACACTGAGATACTGGACAACTGATCTGGCTAAAGGGTGGGTTGCCTGTACAGTGTGGATCTGCTGGTCAAAGAGATGATTCACATCCCAGGCAAGACAGAGTGGGACAGTGTGAAATTGCTCACACTACTCAGAACACTGAGCAATTTAATGCTCATAAAGTGCTTTTTTCTAGAATTTTCATTTCAAATATTTCTGGCCATGATTGATTGTAGGTACCTCAAACCACAAAAAGTGAAACCACAAGTAAGGAGAGAGTACTGTGGTCCATTGTTTAACATTTATAGCAACATTTCACTAACTTCCAACATCTTTTTAATGTTTATAATTCAACTTAAACGTACTCACATTATTCCTCTGAATTTTTCCTTTTTATATTTTTTCTACTATACAGCACCATTCAAAAATACTTACTTAAGTTTGAAAGTTGAGCCATCTCTTAACACCCATGGATGATCACTGCTATTACGAGAGACTCCAAACCATGACAGAAGAGACAGGGAGCCCAGAAATTTCTATGGGAATGTAAATATTTTACATTTAAATAATTGTCAAAAAGTTTACAAATTTTTACAAGTGTAAATAATATGTTCTTTCATTGAGTCTATAATTTGAAAAACAAAGTTAGTATTTTAAGCAATATTAGAGTTGAAAACCACTTTTTATATTGCTAAAAATTTTCACAAATATGTAATTATTTCTTAAAATGAACTCTTACACATTTATACTTTTTAGTTTCATTATTATTCTTATGTTAATGAGGAAAATTATGACCCATGTAATTTAATAGTATCCATGTTGGCAAAACAAATATAGCATGAATTTAAATAAATTTCCAGAGAATGTACAAACATTTCTCTTGTTGCTAATATTAAATCAATGTATATTTCTATTACATTTCTAATAGTTTGGGGTTTAGATGGGAATTGAAAGGGGTGTCACTGAGGAAATAAATGACATATAAGCCAAAAATGCAGTTTTCTGGTCACCAAACCATTCTCTAACTAGCTATGCCCCCAGTTTTTTTCTGTTTCTGTGTTAGTGGAACACCAATGGTCCAAAACAAGTGCTACTCTACACTGAATACAACTATATCCTCTGGACCTCATGAAAGACACAAGCAAAGGAGATTCTGAAAGGATGAAGGGAAAGGTGGAGTGGTTTGGGACCCCAGGATCAGGGATCAACACAGTGTCTGGGCATCTTAAGTCCCCACCCAACAGAAGAAAATGACCTATTCCTGCTGTTCCCAGCATCAAACCTGGCATTGAGAGGTGCCTCAAATGAGCTCATTCCCCCTCTGTACTAAGAGGGAGTCCTGCCAGCAACTCCAGCAAGGCTGGCACCACTGGCAAGGGGGCTCTATCAGGAGACCTGCTAACAGTAAGTAGCCAGAGGAAGTGCTTCTGTCCCCACCAAGACACACCAGGGTAGGTGTGGCTGAGGGGGATCAGGAAAGGCATCCCATGACTACAAGTGCTCCATCCAGGAAGCCTCTGCGTCCCTTAGGGCATGAGATTCACGTCCCCCATCCAGAGACACCAGACAGAAAGGATTTTAATATGTCATATGTACACAATGCAGTAGAGAATGCTAATAAACTACTGCTCACTGCATTAATATGGATGAATTGCACAAGTATCACACAGGAGTGCAATGAGACAGGCATAAAAGTGCATACTATATAATTCCATTTATGAAAATACAAAAACTGGTAAATTTTATTCATAATATTAAAAGTAAGGACAGTGTTTTGAGGAGTAGAAAGGAGGAGTGATAAGGACATGCACAGGGGCAGGGCTGCTGGGGCTGGAAACTCCTATTTTGTGATCTGACTTGTACTACAAGAGTCCGTGCACTTCGTGATAAATCTGTAACATCATGTGCTTATATCTACTATAATTAAATAGCAAAATTTAATTTAGTGTAAAAGCATTTGTAGCAGGATGGTTTTCCATGAACAGCAAGAATTGGCAATAATTGGATATGCATTAGCAGTGTTTAAATAGAAAACTATTGTGAAGTCACACAACAGAATAATATACAGACATGGAAATACTTAAAAGAAAATACATAAAAGAATAGGATTAATTCTACAAATGTAATATTGACTATAATAAACTTCTAATAAAGGGTTTAAAACACTTACCATCTCTTCTTCATTCTCTGTATAAAACAGATTAGAGTTGTTAGAAGCACAGGCCATCACACTCTCATCCCAAGTTTTGAGTTCCTTACCAATGTAATAACAATTGGTGGAATATGTGAACCACTCCTCTGGACAATGAGCACAGTGATATGCTGAAGAATCACTATCTGTAAAAAATATGAATTTTCACAATTAAAATTAATTTACATATTTTCAAAGATATAAAAATATATAAACATGTCTTTTAATCCTCATAGGCTGATAAATATAAAAGAAAAAACACTCACTCACACACACATGCACAGAAAAAGGGTCAGCCTCTCCTCCCCTAATTATATTGCCACATAAAGCAAAACATCAAACACTAATCCACCCTGTACATGTCTGAAAAAGTGGTGAACAATACCACCTTTCTGGAATAGCAAAATTATTTAACTGTTATCATAAGATATTACTAGTTATTCAAGTCAAAAGCAAAAAGATGTATAGTGATTTTAAGTCAATATTTCTACTTATTTTTGAAGAAAAAGGAATGGCTTCCTATAACCTTTGTTTATGAATGTTTATAGCCCAATGTTTTAATTTCTTTCCCCAAAAGATATGTATTATCAAATTTGCACAGCATAAGATTGAGGCAAGATAAAAAAAAATCAATACCTTTCTGAGTTCTCATATTCTGGAGAGAATTCTTCTGCATCAGTCTTGCTATAGTTGGAAAAATTAAAGTAATCTGTATTAAAAATTAATATCTAAATAAGTCACAATAATTTTAAATTTTGTTTGAAATTTGGTGTATCACTTAGAATTATAATTATCTGGAGTAAAATTGATTTCAGCAAGAAAAAATAAAGTAGTGAAAATTTTGGGGAAAAAAGCTTCCAAAGCCTACAAAACAAAACTTCACCATCTCAGTCTACCTTATATTAATATATTGTAAGTATCTGATTTAACCACTTCCAAAAATTAATTTCTATTTCTCCATGAGCTTTTTCAATCTCCTAAAACTTGTCTTTAAGTTATGAAATTTGAATATATACCTTTAATTAAAATCAAAGACTCTGTATAATTATTCTTTCATTTATACTTTTGAAAAATTAAGAATAACCATTTCTCAGTCTAAACATATGTTAAAATTTGAATTCTGTTCCTTGATATCATGAAATGTTTACAAGCACTTCCAATCATTAAATGTCAAAGTTTCCTTTAATTCTTCTGAAACATACTTACAGGGAATGACAAGTTTTATTACCATAGACATTAAGATAAGACAGATGATTCCCAGGATCCCAGCAATGAGCTTCTCTGGAGGTAACAGTAAATCTGCAAGGAGAGAAACAGAAACACTGAGAAAGGAGAGACAGAGATGGTTGGTTAGAATATTTTGATACAAGAGACCCTACATACACAGAGAATCAAAGATAAAGTTGGACCCCAAACCCACATCTACCATAGTAATCTTTCTCTCAGAATATACCATTGCATTTTCAGTAAATGTAGTGCTCCATGAGTTGTTGCAGAAAGGCTACACATTTCTACAATGTGTGAGTAAAATCTGTCTGCATATTTCATATGAAAATACCATATGTCAACTTAGAACTCTTATTTCCATGAATAAAACTTTGTGAGCACACCCTGCCTTTTCCCTACACCCCTGTTGATGTGGCCCAATTATAGGACGGGGAATGAACACAGAACATGAAATAACAACATAGACGCACATGGACATGACAATGACTCGAGTGACTAATACACCGGTTGCTTTATTTTTATACCCCCCAGACCCAAGGTTAGTTCCTTGTGCATGAGCATCTGAGCATATCAGTCAATTCTGGAGTTGTTTCAAAAGGGAACAATTTCTCATGGTCTCAGACCTCAAAACAGTTACTTGAGGCGCCAGCACCAGACATAACTCAAAAACCAAGACCAAGATAAGCAATAATGAACAATGCAGCCATTAGAAGAACTTCTCATGCTCTTTCCCAGCCAGCGACTCTCTCCCAGCCAGTGGCAGACCCCCACGGTTGTGCCTGTCTTAGGTCGCCCCCCCTCCCATGGGGAGTCTTACCCGTCATTAACAACCAACCATCATACGGGGCCGGGCCTTGGGAATGTTCTTCTTATCTTTATGGCTTCCAGACTCCCACCACGGGGGCCCTCCATGTCGGAGCTGGGCAATATTTGCTTACGTGCAGAAACTCAGGCCTCTTGTTATGTCCCAAGGCAGTAACTGTGTCTTAAGAAAATGCTGACTAGAAGAAAATGCTGGCTACCACTGCGTCATGCAGCACACGTGCATTACAGGCTATAGTGAATGATTAGTATAAGGCATAACACCAGAATCAGCCCCCAACACCTGCACCCCAACTGCACATCCTAGAACAGTTGTATTGAGGAGCTGTTACGTGCTTTACCTTTGCAGTGGTAAGATCTGTCATCGCCTTGAAGATCCTGAGCAGCATTTTGAAGGTTTAATTCTGCATAGGTTATTTCCTGTTCAGTTTTTGAAATGGAGCTTTTAGTGTCCTTAGATTTCCTTTGCTGCCTCTTTGGGTTTTTGGCCAGATTCATTTCAGAGTAGATTACTCTTTGGTTATCCATCTCTACAGCTGTGTGATGTCAGGGACTGTGTCTATGATACCTGAAATTAAGAAATTAATCAGTGGTTTACATAATGACAAGATCCCTCATGTAGTCAAAATAGATGTGGTGGAGAGTGGGTATTGGTTCTCATTTTGCATTGAACGCTCTAAAGTTCTCTCTCTAATTTCCTTAGAGCTTAAACAAGTGTCTTAGGAAAAAATCTTTTTAAAAAGATTTTCTACATTTGTCTAAACATTATTGCTGGAACAAAGAAAAGCAACACATTCACGAGGAATAATGAAGTCCATGAATAACAATATATTTCTTAGTCTGTTTCAAAAGATATTGTAATATCAATACAATACCTATATTGAAAAGTAAATGTATTAGAAAAACTTTTCCACTGATTTATATGATAACTTTGAAAGCCAATAATGGTTAAAGACTGAGTGATCTTAAAATGGAGGATGGGAAAGTTGATATATATAAAATGCCTATGAAACTTCTACTACTGAAATTGGCACCCCAAATCTCTATAATATTAGCTATTTTAATTTTTATTTTATTTAAAATTGCTGCGTTATTGTTTCTGATTTGTGTCAGTTAAACCACGAAAAATAAATCATAATTAAGTCTTTCATATCAGTGTGGTACATTTTTTTGCAATATTTGATAAATTTTTAAAAAATCTTTTCATTGTTTATAACTAAATTCAGCATTTTATGAAATTTATTAATACCTTACCCTGATTTTAATTAAAAATAAAAAGTGCTTTCTTTTAATAAAAATTTTTGAGCAATTATGTTTGGCTTTCATCATTAAAGTAATTCTTTTTAATAATATTTTATAATGACTGAGCTAATTATAAATTATTATGCTATTATTCAATAATACACAATCTAATGATTACTAATCCAAAATTACTAGTTCATTATCATCAAGTTTAGGGGATTCACTTAAATTATACTTGCTAACTAATCCAGAAATATGTAAAGGCTCTTGACTAGGTCTACAGGCGACAATTTGCACACTTAGGAAATTCTTCAACATATGTCACCTTTAGGAATTTTACCGTGAAATTTTCAAATAGAGAAATAGATAGCTACTGATTTTTGTGTAGATTAATTTTACCTCAGATGCACCGAGTACTTGAAATCTTCCACTCAGTGAGGTAGGCTAGTAGACAGATAGAGAGTAGCAGCACATACCTTCTGTCCCCAAAAAGTCGTGTGTCCTTTAGTGCCAAGGCCAGGTTACTCTCATTTGAAGGCCTGCAGTGGCTGGGAAATAAAAGGTCAAATTTCAAGGCATAGACTCAGGACAAGAACAAACAATGTCTGTGACCCTCACAGAGTGCTCTGTGAAGGCTCAGAGTGAGTCAAGAGTGGAAAAAGTAGATTTCTCATCACTGTGTCACTGAAGGTCTGAACAGGAAATTCTCACTCATGGGCTACTTTGATGCCAGTTTATCTCATCACACGTCTCCAGAATATAGGAGACTTTGGGCTCCTATTGCAAGGACAAGGTAGAATTCTAAAGTGTGTCAGTTTGTCCATTTTAATTGTCTCTGAGAAGCTGCTTTCATATTCTATAAGACATAAGGGGAAAGGACTTGACCACCCATGCAGGTAACTTTTTTTTCATCTCAGTCATAAATGTGTCAACTTCAGTCTTAAGAGTGTCTTAGATGTTTAAGACTCACTTTCAGACTAGATTGCTAAATCCTAACGTTACATCTTTTTTTCATATCTTATCATGTCACTTGCACTTTGATGGAAAACATTCTAAAACTCATAGGAACATTATCAACAGATATTTAGTGATATTTGTCATTAATTACTCTGAGAAATTACTACCATTTCAAGTCATTGTAGATGACACAATATCCACCATTGGAAAAGTTATTTTCTTGAATTCTCTTGTTTTGTTCTTGTATTTCTGCATTTAATTTTATTTGTTAAACAAATGATTTAATGTTCAGACTTCCCATAACAAAAATAAATATCTCTAGAGAATAAAACTTATCAAATATATAATTATAAGCTTATCAAGTATATAAAACTTATCAAATATATAAAACTTATCAAATATATAAAAATATATCAGCATGCCAGAGATTGAAATATTAAATAACTATTTATAGTAATGTTCATTGATTCATTCTTCATCATGACTAATTGCCTGTATTTTAATAGGAATATTTGATGTAAATGATTAAAGCCTAAGTCAAACTAATTGGGAGGAGTAAAGTAATTCAAAATATTTCCACCAAGTAAAAAATGGTGAGGACAAAAAATATATACACAATTAGCAGAAAAGTTAAAGGACACATAAGAATCAAGAAGAAAATTTAAATTATCTTGTTTGCATCAAATGGAAATCTTTACATCATTTCTCACCTTATAATATCCCAAATGGGGGAACATTTGTTTTCTGTAACCCCAAGGATATTCACCTCCATGCAACCCCATAAAGAGTTGGTTCAGAAAAACCTAATCTAAAACTCTCTAAAATCTAGAAAAATAAAACTTTAATCCATATGTATGTTCCTGGAATCTGATCTAGTATTTGAGCCTCCTAAGAGAATGGTTAATGTTGGTTGGCTATGTACTTATTTGTGTTTATTTTATTTTAACATGATTTCATAAACAAAATTAATAAATCTTATATTGATATATGATTGTGTACATGCATATGTATTTCTAGCTTTAGAGATAAATTATGTTCACATATTAATTATATTTCTATAACTTAAATTAATAATCTTTTCTATTAGTACCGCTATAAAATAAAAATAAAATCATTCATTAAAGATGCCAAATAATGTAACATTCACTAATGTTCTCTTTTTAAATTTGTGGTGCTTATATCTGTTATTCCTAGCAACATTCACTTGGTGTTTTCAACTAAATAATGTTGTACAGTCATGCCTCACTTAACAACAGGGATATAGTCTAAGACATGTATGCTTAGGCTATTTCATAATTGTGTGAACATAACAGAGTATACTTATATGACCCTAGATGGTATAGCCTGCTATACACCTAGGCTATCCCATATATCCTGTTTGTCCTAGACTTCAAACCTGTATAGCTTGTTACTATACTGAATATTGTAGGAAATTGTATCACAATGTTATGTATTTGTTTATCTAAACACATATAGACTAGCTTTACACTGATCTCAAAACAAGACAATGATGTTACAGGAAAGGAAACTACAGACCAATATCTACAATGAATATTGACATAAACATCCTCACAAAATACTAGAAAGCAGAATTCAATAGCATATTTAAAGGATTAGACATCATTACCTAGTAGGCTTTATTTGTTAAATAAAAGGATATTATATGACAATCAGTTAATGTAATACAACCATTAACAGATTAAAAGATAAAAACCATATGATTATTTCAATTGATTAGAAAAAAACACTGGAAAAAAATCAAAATCTTTCCATGAGTACAGAGTAGAAAATGTGAAGATGGAGAAGAGAGAGATTGGAAGTTGTTGGCCTTGAAACTTAAAGTGATACAGCCACAAGCCAAAGAAGACTGACAGTCACCAGGCACTGGAAAAAACAAGGAGAGGATTCTCCCCTAGAGCTTCAGGAAGGAGTTATGCCACTTTTGTTTCAGTCCAGTGAAACTCATTTTGCACTTATGGTCTTCAGCATTGGGAAAGAATAAATTTATGTTATGGAAAGCTGTCAAGTTTTTGGTAATTTGTTACGGCAGGCACAGGAAAGCAGGATAGTCACATTTTTTGGTTCTTCAACAAGTCTTTCTAATAATGTTTATTTGCATTTTAGACCTTGAATGATACATTATGGATACTTTGGATTCTATTCTATTCTATTCTATTCTATTCCCAGTGTGTCATGGACCATAAAGTAACTCCCAGGTACAAGATCGGCTCACTTACCTAGGACAATTTAAGAAGATAGAAAAAATCTTGAACTGGTTTGCCCATTGGCCTGTACAAATGAGCGACACTGATTCTAAGTGTACCTCTGCTGTGTTAGAGAAAGTAGGGGAATAAAAAAGGGAGAAGTCAACCCAGTGGTCAGAACTCCAAGCAGTCCATCTGTTTTTGCTGTGTTTAATGCCGGGGTCTAATGGGTTGCAGGCTGACCAGTCTTTCTAAAATGACAGCAAGTTGAATAGGCCTCTCAGAATAAGAAAATAATGTGAAAATATTTGTGTCCTTCCCAAATACCCAGCAGAGTGAACGCCCTGCAAAAGAAACTCAATAAACAACTTGGCAGGATGACCATCCAGTGTGTCGGAATCCATGCCATAGAACAAGGACTCGAAGAACGGTTGCTATGGAAGCTACAAGGTATGATTAGTATGTGAAAAGGTGCTCAGTTTCATTGTAGTTAGGAAAAGTTTTTATTATTAAATTAAATATAATATTATTATAAATATAATATAATATAATTATATTAAAATGTAACAGATTGGTATAGAATTTTAAAAATCTGAAAATTTTTAAATGTCAGCAAAGTGACTAGATTAAAGGGAGAATTACATACCGATGATTCCAAACCAAATATAATTTTGGTCTAACACAAAAGTAGAAGTGTCTGCTTTTGTACCAATTCTTTCTCAATAATATTTGTTTACAAAAGGTGAGAATTCAGTTCACACAGGCAGTGTGGCTCTTTGGCCAGGTTTTGGCTTGTCTGGAAAGATGACAGCAACTATTTCCAAATCCCATCCAACTGTTTTAAACAAAGAAACAAAGATCACAAGAAAATTCTAGAAATGTAAGCATACTAAGTAAAACTTACTATCTAATAGTATCTTTATTTCAAACCAGGTTAATATAAAATTTATTTTATAACTGAAATTATTATTTGTTAAATTCTGTTATAAATAGGAGGAAATTTGTTCAGGAACTAAAAAGTATCCTATGTTTGTAAAGTAACCATGTATCTCTCAGACTCCTAGCTTACCATCTTTTTTCTACCCAAGCAGAGCACATTTCCCTACACACACCTCCCCCATACACATGTACAGAGGCACACACAGACCTTCTAAATTAATGAGATAATACCAATAAACCACCAAAAATGAAGAAGGGAGATAGGCAACTATTCATGAAATCCAATAAAAATATGAAATATTCACTTAGAAATACATAAATGAAAATCAAAATACGGGAAAAATGTTCACCTATGAGAACACCAAATATTTTAAGCAATGGATAATTTTTTGACTTGATGAATTACTGTGAATAGAGAATTATTTATCAATATTTATTAGCACAAAATATGTAGACTTTTCACTTTTCATTTTAAATAATTTATCATATGTAAGTACTAAAAATATATTCAAAGTTGTGTAGCACAGAGATTTTTTTCTTTTTGTTTTCTTAAATAGATATACTAGAAAAACAAAATAAAACAAAAAGACTATAACAGAAATGGTCATGTTTAAGGGAGTTGTTAAATAAGTTATGGTACCTCTATACAATAGAACAACATTAATTGTCTCATATAACAAATGTTCTTGATATGTACAGCAAAGCAATAGATTTGTAATATGCTATGTGTGCATTGGTTAAATATAGAGTTTTGAAGGTGTGTATTAGTTACTATTTTATTAAAAATTAAGAACATGTCAAAAATCTTAAAGTTAAAATTTTGAATGTTTAAAAATAGTGAATAACAAACACATTTATACTTAAGACCTTGTCTATATTCATGATTATTCCCAAAGAATTAATTTCCAGAAAAAAAACCTGAAATAAAAAAGAAAAATTTAAAGAATTTTTACATTGGTCAAGTTGTTTTTTGAAAGCATTTGGCCAATTCATATATCCACCAATAGATATGCTGGTTAATTTAATGGCATGGTGGGATAGTAAGAATATTGCTGTCTAAATATTTGGGATAATTAACCTATTTTTGTAGCAGAGGAAAAATGAAAATAGTCATTGCTGTTAAGCTCTGACTCGGTGAGACAAGGGCAATATTTATAACCTAAACATTTGTACCCTCATAATATGCTCACACAAAAAAATAAATTAAAAAAAGAATTAAAAAAAAGAATTCATAGCAAGTAGCATGGTGATAGAATCATATGAAAATGAATTCAAAATTGGAGCATTACATTTCAGATAAACCAAAATATGAAATGTAAACAATAGGACAATGAAAGAGCTAAAAGAAAGTACACGTAAATAATTATAACTTTCTAGCTACAAACAGATGAAGGAAAGTCAGATTGAACTGTAGATATATCATTTTTGTTGAAAATAAAAAAGATTTTTATTACCAGTAAGAATAATAGAAGACTTTATTTCATCATTACCCAAAGAAATACAAAAATATTGATTTTTCTACCTATAAAATCAGTAAATGTTTGTAAATAAAATGTGATTACAAACTAAAATATTACTGATGTTTTATCTGTAAGTAAATATTTGCAAGCAAAACATAATTACACAGATTTGGACAATGTGCAGGAAAGGACAACAGCCATCATTCACATAAACTTCTGATAATCTACAAATCAAAACCACCTGACTGGAAAGAAATTTGTCAGTGTGTATTGGATCCCAAAACATGTATGCACTTATGGATCCAACAGTTCAAGGCAATAAGAAAATAATTCTGTATTTAATAGCTTAATTTGGAAAAAGAGGCTAGACATTTGGAAAAATAAAACAAGAAGATTCTAGACAAAAGAAACAAAATAAAAAAAATAACAAGGATAGCTGGATTCACGCCCCACACTACTATTTATAAAATGAAACACGTCATATTTTTTAAAAAATCATTTTCTCTCTAAGCTATGATTTAATACATTATGAATTGACACTATAAATTAATATCCAAGAGTCATTTCAAACTTTTTGAAAGAAGTAAGTAAGTGAAAGCAATTATACTCACCTACTTGAAAAGTAAAATTGAAAATTTTATAGGAGAATCGTGGTTGGGAAACAGTGTAAAATTATTGCAGAATGGAGTTACTATTATTGTACAGCTGACTGCCTGGTATAAGAACCTGCAGGAAAAACTTTAGATTATAAAATATCTAATAATGACATATGATACTCTGTTAATTAGAGTCTGTGAAAAGCTACAAAGGAAGTTCTCATGAAACTGCTTATTTGAAGTTTCTCTCCCCTACAAAACACTTAAAAGTGCTGCAAGTGCTGCTGTGACTATTGTTACTTTGAAAGATATTTCACAAGTCATAGATATTTCAATTGAAAATGAATGAGACAAATATTAAATTTAAATATTGCATAATGAGAACCTCCCCATATCAAGTTTGAAGCATTAAAGGAAAAAAAAAAAAACTGAACCAAATTGCATGTTGCATTACAGATTACATGGAACAAGAATACATGATACAGAGAAAAATATGTAGATTTGTTGGGATAAAAATTATATTTTTAGCTTTACTAGTTAAATTACAATTAATAATCCTTAGTGGTAGCCTATATCAGAACCCACTGTAGAGTTTTTAAGTTTTGTTTAGTATAGCATAACATAGTATAATATAGTCTGGTTTGGTATAATAATAAATTATGTAATTTGAAAGTCATTAGCTTGTGGGTACTAAAGAAACTGCCTAAACTCTAAACTTTCAAATTTGGGTCTTGTCAGTATGTATCTGCCGACTCATAACTGTGCTACTGTCTTCATTCTCCTCCAGCCTCTCCCATTTATTTTTATTAAAATTAAATTCATTGTCCCTTCACAGTTCATTTTCCCTGTTCTCATGGTTGTCTGTGTTCTCCCAGGCAGCCTCCTCATTCATCAGTAAGGATGAATCACAAACCTTCCCCTCTGTCAGAGCTGCCCATGGTCCCCTGCACCCTGGCTGCTCAGTCTCCCCCTCCCCCTTCAGGTCATTTCTCCTCCACTCTGCCTCCACTGTTCACTGTCCCAGAGACACCTCGGGCTTTGTCTTGACCTTTAAGGTATTTTTTACTTTTGTTTGAGAAATGCTAAGAAAAACACAAAATGAAAAAAAAGCTACTAAAAATAATAGATTTGGCGGGACAAAAGAAAAATAAAATATTTGTAAATATGAAGTCACATATATTAAGAACACATAGAGATCAATAGAAAAGACCGACAACCTTCACCAATGGGCAAAAAGTGCAAAGAGATGTGTAATGTGCCCCAAAGACCCACAGAACAATTAAAAATGTGAAAAGATACTAATTCTCACTAATAATAATGAGTAAATTAAATTTAATTAAAAATAACTGAAGATTATTCTGTTTTACTGTAATATTGTTAAAGTTAATGAGCTCCTATATTAAAAAGACACATGCTAAGGTTGGCAAACGTGTTTTTTAGTGGTTACTTACAGAGATTGGGGTATACACATCTGCCGATTTGTTCTGTACCTCAATATCTTATAGTAAATAATGAAGTCATGGATCTGGGGAGTCAAAATCTATAAAAAGCTTTTGAGATGTGGGTGACTAATCTCCTTCAAAAGGGGAAAGTTTAGATATATTATGTGTTACATGCTGGAAAATATTATGGTCATTAAAAGAAGAAAGAATAGGCAATGACATTGAACAAATTTAAGTATTATATTCTTAAGAAAAAGCCATGTGCTTACCAATATACTTCATTCTGTGTTAGTGAAATAGGATCACATTTATGGGGAAAAAGCCTTCATTTATTAAAATACTCAGAGTGTGAAAAATACATATCATGTAAGCTACATGTTTGTTATATATAATACAGGATGAAGTCTGACATTAATAGCATCAATTTCTACCTATAAGGTCAATTAGGAGTCTTTCCTGTTGTACACATCACCAGTTCAGTTTTTATTTTATATTATTTATCATTATTGATTTTAATATTCCACTTTATTTATAACTATACCCTGCTGTGATGGTTAATTTTAGGAGTCAACTTGACTGAGTTAGGAATACTTAGAAACCTGGTAAAGCATCATTTGGGGTGGGTCTGTGAGGGTGTTTCCAGAGGAGATTAGTGTGTGAGACCTGAGTGGACCAGGTGGGGGAGACCTGCCATCATCGTGGGTGGACAGCATCCAATCACCCAGGGCTGAGATACAACAAAGACAGAGAAAAGGTGAATGTGTCTCTCTGTCTCCTGGAGCTGGGATACCCTCCTTCCTCCCCTTGGACATCAGAATGCCAGGTTCTCCAGGCTTTGAGCTCCAAGACTTAACACCAGTTCCTCCACTCCAGTTCTCAGGCCTTTGGCCTTAGACTGAGAGTTACACCATTGGCTTTCCTGGTTCTAAAGCCTTCAGAGTTGGACTCAACCACACTACCACCCTCCCAGGGTCTCCAGCTTGCAGATGGCCTGTCGTGGGATTTTCAGTCTT